TCCATACCACCCATAAGCACCCACCTACACCTGTACGTGTGTATTTCTACAGAATTCAAGCAAAAATTGCATTTAAAAAAAAAAAAAAAACAAAAAAAACCAGTGTGAAGATTAAAAAATCAGCCACCAAAATGTTGGGAAACACCAGACTGAATTATTCACACTCTCTCCTCTTCTATTGTTCTTTCTACATGTGACAGTCACACCTGGTTTTTTCCTTTGCCTCATCCAGGGCACAGGCAGGACTTTGCCCTTCCTGAGCCATGGACCTGTAATTTTCCCTCCTGCTGTCCTGCAGGCATGTCAAAGCTGCTGGGTTTTCCATGGTGCTCATCAACCTGCATCCAAACTCTGCACAAGTAATGAATTTATCTTCATAACATATCTTTTCCCCAGATTTAGGGATGGGAGGAAGTGGAAGAAATTAAGCCCTGGATTTGCAGTCCAGGTTGAGATGAACATTGTCTTTTTAGAGAATTTGATATTTGATATTCTGAAGGATAAATAGAGGCATGAGACTCTCTGGCTTTAGATGCCACTGAGAGTTCTGCACCCACAAAGCAGAGTTCAGGGTGTGAAATTTGGCATCTTAATGATGATCACACATTTAATACCTGTTTCCATATGACAAGACTGGGTTGAGTTTTCCAATGCCATATAGAACCTCTATAGAAGGGGTAAATAAGACATTTTAAAGGCTTTGTTTACAGGTTTTTTTCAATAAGAACTTCTTTTGGTTTGTTATCCCAAACACCCCCTAAGCTTTACAAAAAACAAAACAGGTTCCCTCTTGTCCCTTCATCACCCACCCTGATTCTTCCCCAGATTAAAACCAGTCTTGAGTGAACCAAGAGTCTCAGTGACCAAAAAGGAGTATGAGAACTTGGGGTCTATGAGTCTGTGGACATTAGAAATACAAGTGGTTCTGGAGGGGAAAATAACCCATGCTGAGGACTCAAAGACCATATTTTGGGGGTAACTTCAGTGTAGTTTTATTCTGGCCCTGAGGCCTGAGTTGCCACGAGTGTAGTAGGTGGAGGTCAAAGGAAACCAAGTTTCATGAGCCAAGGTAAAATCTCCTCACTCCAAGGTGGAACTACCACCTTGGAGGAAATCATTTCAAAAACACATTGCTAATCTACCTAAATGCAAGTCTAGATGCATCCTAAGTCAACTTGTGATTCAAAAGCACAGGATAAAAATTAAAAGTTTGCAGATTGTGCTAGGTGCATAATTACTCTTTTCTTCAACCTCAAAGCACTGAGGCTGGTAATCTTAAAAATATCCCTTCAATATCACAAGAGCTGTGCGCACTGTGTGTACCACTAAGGGAACAGTAGAGCTAAAATATTAACTGAGAGCCTGGAATCTTGGAATATCCTGAGTTGGAGGGGACCCACAAGAATCATTGAGTCCAACTCCTGGCTCTGCACAGGACAGCCCCAGGAGTCACACCCTGTGCCTTGAGGGCATTGTCCAAACCCTCCTTGAACTCTGTCAGGGTTGGTGCTGTGACCACTGCCCTGGGGAGGCTGTGCCAGTGCCCAAACACCCTCTGAGTGAAGAATTTTCTAACATCCAACCTAAACCTGCCCTGACTCAGCTTCAGGCCATGCCCTCAGGTCGTGTCATTGGTCACCAGAGAGGAGACATCAGTTCCTGCCACTGCACATCCCCTTTGGGTGAGGAAGCTGTACACTGCAATCAGGCCTCTCCTCAGCCTCCTCCTCTGTAGGCTGGATAAATCAAGGTGAGAAGGCTGAAAATAATACACAGGATGTCTTGATTCAAGTCTCATTGCATTACTCATTAGAAATCTTTCCACTGATTTCAGTGGAGTTTTGCTTGGAGTAAAATGCAGCTGCAGCACACACAGCAGCACAGCAATTACTCACTCAAATTCCCAAAAGGAATTTTGCCTGCAAAAAGACCACAAGATTTGACCCCACTAATGACTTCCATGGTGTTTTGTGCACAATATAGATTACCAAAGTGGAGCCATGACTCAGAGGGTTTTCCTGCTCCAACCTGCCCATCATCAGCTCTTCCCTGCAATCCCAGCAATGAAGAAAGGCAGAGTGGCCATTCACAAGGTGTTTGCCCAAGTTCTCAGCCTGTTCTGTAAACCAGATTTTAGTCATCAGAGGGAAGAAAAGAAGGAATAAAAGTCCACCCATGCAAACAAAACAAAGCAAACATAAAGCATAAGCACAAATACACAAACAAAACTCTTTGAGACATTAAAATTTGCTCAAAAAGAATACAATTTTTAAAAAATAAAAATTAATTGAGAAATTGATAGAACACTGATGTTACTTTAGCATCTTATGTGGTAGTTGGGGGGATGTGATCTTAGGGATTCTGTTCATCCTCCTCCTGACATTGAAATATAAGATAATTGATGTGAGAAGTCTCTAGACAAAATGTATATATTTCCTAGAGTATATGCAGACAGAGCGTCTCCATTTGTGTCCTTTACAGCATGCTCATTCTCTGGGCTGGCCCCAATCCTGCTTCATTTCACTCAATGCCTCTAAGACCTGTGAAACAACATCAGAAGGAAACTGCAAGAAGGTATTTCAAGAACTTTTGTGGAAAAAATAGTTAGAGAGAGAAACTCAGGAGCCAGTTCCATCTAAAGAAAATGGAAAAAAAAAAAACCACAATAATTGCTGACTGCAAAATTCTGCCATGCAAATCCTCCTCTAATTTTTGCCATTGCTGAGGTCCTGGAATCAATATTTTAGTCCAACTGCAATCTGTTGATGAGCAAAAGGAGGGAAAGGTTGTAGCATTGCGAATTAAAAAATAATAATCTCTCAAGCTTAATATCAGCAAAGATGATTATTTCCTTTGATTTGTCAGGCTAATTGAAAATAGCTTTATAGTTCACAGATGATTAATTAGGAGCCAACAAGATCTCCATTTGCATCTCGGTAATTCTTCACTCTGTTTTATTTCAACATTTAGTCTTTATGCTTAAAATATTCATTGAGAAAGCAGAAAGGTGATTAACATAAGATTTTAAATGTGTACCATTTGTTCTGACTTTTTCTTTCTTTTTACACATTTTTGTCAACAGAGAAGAAAGGAAAGAATATACAACATCACAAAGCCATTGCTGCCTGTTCCGCTTCCATCTGCCAAATCCTCCTGTATGGCAGACAATCTTTAACCAGGTTCATTTTGAAACAGGGGAGAAAGAGCCCCAAATAAAGGTCAACCCTCTGCCCCTCCTCCCCCATTCCCAAATCACCAACGGTCTGACCTCTGCATAGTCACCCTGAGAGTTCTGAAGTGTTTTATTCCTTAGATGAAAAACCCTCACTGGTGTGAGCCATCCTGCAGCAGCACATTAGACCATGCCACTGCTACCCCCACCTCCAGAGATCACCCAAGAGAAAGTGGGTTCAAACAGCTGTGATAGTTATGATGATATTTTTCCATCCACCTGGCACTGAAAGGCAGGGGTACACATATTTCTGGGTGAAATATTTCACTCAGCATTAAAAATATAAAAATAATTTGCAGGTCACGTCTGTTGAGTTTTTTTACATTTGGGGGTTGTATTTTTGTTTGGGATTTTTCAAGCGTTTTCTCACAGCCTTGGTAACCTCTGCCTTATCACACTGAGCTTAAATCTCCAGCAAATGGAGTGGTTTGATAACAAGTTTAACCCTTCATTTGGAAGGTGAATTCCCAATCCTTATGATCATATAAAGAAGCTGGATGAGTAAACTCTGAAAACTAAAAAAAGCACGGATTCCTAAGGATTAAACCACCAGAAATTAAACAATAAGAGCCAAACTCTGCTGTTATCAATCGTAATATTAATTAAAATTGCACTGTTTCAAAGAGAGTTCTTCCAGGACAGGACTGGCTAATGGCCTTTGAATTTTTGTGAATTTTCTTCTGTCATAAAATCCAGACTTTCATAGAGGATTCTGCCTATCCCTCCAAGAGAAGGGCAGACCTGCTCCATCCTGATTTCACATCAGGATCTCAACTCTCTCTTGTTTGATCGATCACTGAGTACCCAATGAGACAGAGCAGAATGTGCTTTCCCAGCTCCTGTCCAAAACCTTTGCTTTTCTCAAAAGCAGCCGGGTTCATAAGGACCCTGCTGTACCTTTGCACTTATCCCAGCCCCAAATTGTCCTCAACACCAGTTTGGTCATGGTTGCCTGAGTCCCAGGGGGACCCATCCCACCTGGGAGCCTGAAATCACGCAGGGGCAGCGGCTGGGCTGCGATTCAAGGGACAAGGGAGCACACACCGGACAGTGGGGTTACACTAACATGCAGTCCATTTATTTTTGAGGGTTTTTTTTCCTTTGTTCTGTGATTTATCTTTTTTTTTATCATCAAGCCACTGCAAACATTGCTTTGGCTGTCAGCATGAGCGTAGAGACAGACATTCCCATACCCGTGGTAAAGATGTCATAAATACCATCCAAACAAATGTTAAGAAAAAATTAATAAAGAAAGAAAAATATTCTTTTTCCCACCCCCAAGCACAAAACACTGTTAAGTCAACAGAATTTAATCTAGTTTATTCTCCAAAAAAAAAAAAAAAGAGGAAAAATATGAAAACAAAACAAAACCAAAAAAAAAAAAAAGAGCAGGTTATCGCTAGCAGTAAATAAATTTGTACAACCATTCAGTCTGTATAATAGGATGAAATAAATCTACATCTTTCTTATTTTGGTGCGTTGAATTATACATACAAACAACAATTACAGGAACTTGTTCACAATGCGTATAGACCTGGAGAATGGCTATCTGAAACCCCCTTGTTGGCAATGTCCGCATGTTAACACTGATTGCCTGACACCATTGGTACTTCCTATGTAAAGGGCCCCGTGGCCCAAAATGAATGATCTCCCTACAGGTTTTATTTATTTAGTTATTTAGTTAGTTAGTTAGTTAATGCATCATCAAAACCGTTCTAGCCAGCCCCCTCCCCCTCCCCGGAAACAGAAAAAAAAAAAAAGAAACCAAGATAAAAACCAACCAAAAAAAAAAAAAAAAAAACAACAAAATAAAAATAAAATAAAAGGAGAAGACATGACTGGCAGTTGGTCCATTTGTTCATAAGACCGCGTTTCCTCTTGGTCTGCATTGTTTGTTTTTCTGGTTTTTAAATTGTCCTCCCATCTTCTTTTTTTTTTTCTTTTCCTTTAAAAAAAATTCTCTCGGAGTCCTTCATGCCTTTTTCTTTGCAGCTCCTCAGATGCAATAAAGTCTTCCTCAAATGTACAGAATTTCTTACAATATAAGTTATATGCAATGTTCAGCGTTTTTTATTTTATTTTATTTTATTTTTTCACAGCACTAGAGATCCTGTCCAATAGGGAATGCAAGTTCTGAATGGCTTATTCACAAATGGTATCCAGATTCAGTGGGTAAGAATACATAGACGCCATAGTGAGTTCCTTTAAAAAGTGGCAAACATCACTTTTTTAAAACTTTTTTTTTTTACTTTTTTTCTCTTTTTTTCTTTTTTTTTCCTTTTTTTGTGCTTTTTGTAGTTTTTTTCTGCATTTTTAATTTTTTTTCTCTCTCTTACGCCTTCAAATAACCTCTTTTTTTTTTCTAATTTTTTTTTTTTTAATTCTTTTTTTTCCCCTCTCCCATTTGATTCGGGACGTCAGACCCATAACCACACGCCTGCAAAAATGCAAGTAGTATATAAAGTAAATCTCATTTTGAGACTGTAAGCATTCAGCAGGGGAGTCTCTTGCTAACCCATGGCAGTGACCATGCTGGAGGGGTGGTGAGGTCCGAAGGAGAGGCTGGATGGAGGATGCATCGGTGTCGGTGTGGTCAGCATGTGGCTGGAGTGACTGAAAGGTGAAATGTGGCTGATGGAGGACATGTGTCTGGAGAGGGCTGCAGGGTTAAAGGAGCTGCTCTTGGGAAAGTCTTCGAGGTTGTCATGGACCTTTTTGCACTTTTTGGATTTGCTAGACATCTTTCGGTTTCTGGTCTGAATTCCTTCTTTCTTCATAGTCAGGGGTCTGTTAATCTAAACAAAAATCAATTATTTTTTTTGTGCTTCCATCCCTGCTCCCCAAATCACCATGGGATCTGTGTACCCCATGCCCCAGCCCAGCGGGACCAGCTGGTCACAGCCCCCTCCTCCCCTGTACACACCATGTGCTACCCAACCTCTCCATTTCCATCCCAAAATTCAGATCCCTCCAGGAAATCCCAAGCTCAGTTGAAATTTCTGAAGACAAGACGACAGAAAATTGCTGGCAGAGCCACACAGGAGCAAAACATACCCGAATAATTCACAGCAGCTGAAAAATTTCAACTATCTGCACATTAGGTAATTGCATTGTGTTTAGGTATGAAACCAATCATTACCTCCTGGAAATATTCCCCACAGACACCGTCTCACCCTGAGGCTTCCTGTCTGATCTAAAACCATTAGCAGCAAGAACTGCTGGGATTTCAATGCTGTGAGGGGTCTCAGGCTTTCACAGATCCATTAAGAAGCTGGGCAACTCTCCACAAAAGGCATGGGTTTTTGTCTTGCTTTCCTTCTTTCCGAAGATTTTGCTCTGATCATCCTTTCTGGTTTTCTTTAGCTAATCTGGTTTTATTTCTAAAGGCTTCCAGATTTTTCTTAGGGAGGCTGAAACAGGTATCTATGCTGACCTGCAAAGTATTTTCTACATGCATACAAATGTATGTGTAGGGAAAATAAACATTAAAATCTCCTCCTGAAACTACACAGCAGACATTATCATCCATGCATCCATCAGGGTTAGGAAATGGTAGCACAAGTTCTGTTGGACACCCTGTAAGAAATTCTTATTACTCTTATTACTTGAGGCTGTCCTGTGCAGGGCCAGGGGTTGGACTTTAATGATTCTAGTGGGTCTCTTCCAACTCAGAATATTCCATGATTTTGTGATTTTGTACTGCATAGAGAGCCAGCATCACAACATGCACTAGCACAGGTGACATGAAACTCCCACAAACCACACTTGGGAAGGGATTTATGCCTCCAGTGTCCCTAAACAAACTAAAAAATCTGGGTTTGAGAATGTAAATGGGTCTTGCTCTGGCTCCTCTGCAGGATTTCACCTATAGCAGAAGGCAGCAAATCGTCCTGAGGCTGAACCATTCTTCATAATAAATGTGAGCACATGATGGTGCTGATGGACATTCTGCCAAAGAGAGAAAAAAATGGATCCACTGTCCACCAGGATCTGTGAAGGACAATGAAAAGATGTCCCTGCAAAGGTCCTGAGCAACTCTTTGTTCATAAGACCTTAAATCAGCACAAGGAACAAAACATTCCCTTCTTCCAGATCACAGCAAAGTTTCACTTGTTGCTCCTCAGCCCCTTTCTGGTCCCTTTTCACAGCATGAGAATCATTCCTGGATTTCTCTCCCCACGGAGGCCAGGATAAAATAGCTCCCTGTTAATGCAAAGATGGAATTGTGGGGAGAGGAAGGACCAGGCTCATCTCTGGTTTGTCATTCCAGTCTGAATTTGTGACCCCAGGCTCTTTTTACCAGCAGTGACAAGAGCCTTCACCTCACCTAAAAATGAGTGCATAAAAGGCTGATTCCTCTGCCTCTGGATAAAGGGAGTTGGAAAGAGCAGCCCTGCTTGCCAACAGCTAAAGGTAGGAAGGAAGAATCTGCCCATGAGCAGCCCCACACCAGCCCTACAGCAGCAACAAGCAAAATTTAAAATATTGTGGGTTCCAAACACTTCCCTGGCTTTCTGTCCTCACTGAGGGAATGAGGATGCACACACAAAGATGCTCCAGATAAAACTGACTGGGACTGGAAAGCTTTGCCTGGCCTGTTTTAAGTTTTTAACAGGGATGTGTTGCCCAGGTTCAAAGCCAGGAAGAAGTCCCAGGTGAGCCCCACCAGGCAGCAACATCAGAAGAGACCAGGAAGTGCCAATCCCTGACAAATCCAGCTCAGATTTGGGGAGGCACACACAGCCCCTGCCCCACCAGCTTCAAATCAGGATCTCTATCACAACACAAAGGCTCAGGGGAAGCCAGAACCAATTTCCAGCTGAAGCAGCAAAGTTTCAAGCTTGGGAGCTGGTTGTGGCAAAGTGACATAAGCCTGGTGGTGGGACTGGGGCTGTTCTGGGTCTTGGAACAAGCACAGGGTCCTGACCCTTGCTTGGTGTCATGTCCCACATGACAGTGAACACTTCCCCAAAGCAACATCTCTTCTGTTTCACTCAGTCTCTAAGAACAGGATGGCCCAGGCCACGATTTTATGTAAAACTCAAGGATGGGAACACCAGCTCTGCATCAGGATGGTGACAAAGCCATGGCCAGCCCCACAGCTGGGGCCAGAGCTGCCATGCAAGCTGCTGTCTGGCCACATCATCCCAGTGTAAATGGTCTCACACTCCAAGCAGGTAACTAACCCGAGAGCCAAACAGATAAAGACTCAGATAAATGTCAGAAACCAGCATAATCAAAGCAGCAAGCTGGAAATTTTTTCCAGTGACTTCAAAGACCAGTCACAGCAGGGTAAAAGTGGTCCCCAAAACATCAAAGCCAAGGACCCATCTCTGTTTCTGGGGTAGAGAAATGAAAGACCCGGAGGGAAGACCTTCTCCGTGAAAATTCATTCTGATAAAAATGACAAACACATGCTAAATTAAAATTAAACCAGCCCAATGCATGTATATGAAATTCATTAATTTCAGATGGAGCCAATTAATTATGGGCAGGAATTATGCTCTTTGTTTTATCATATGCAAAATACTGACTGCTCTGCTCTCAGGACGCATAGGCCTGCTTTAGAGTATTGTGAAAGGGGCCTTTTCTGATGAATTTTACCAAAAATAATGGCAAATCTCTGACTTCTACAGGCTCAGGCCAGCCTGCTGTGCACCTCCAGCAAGGTACACTCCCACCCACCCCTGAAGTGTGCAAAGGCTCATCCCACTTCTAAGGACTAAAATAACAAGGATGAGAACCTCATATTCAACAGATCAAATCCAGGGGATAGTCTTAACCATTATAGGCCTGATCTTGCTCTGACTGAAGACAATGGGATTTTGCCATTGACCTCAATAAGGTCCTGTCACTGAAGTGGATTTATCCTTCAGACATAGTCATTACAACGTTGGGTTAATCTTCCAGGCTGGCTGTATCTTAGAAAGCACTCTGGGATGCCACGGGATGAAAGGCACTGTATCAATGTGAAATATTAGTCATTGTTAACACTGGTGTTAATGGAGCCGGCTCTTGTTGAAGTCAGTGGGAGGAATGCCAACAGCTTCACTAAATGCACCCCAAGACTATTATGATTATTGCTTATATCCTACTGACAAATGGGTTTGCTTAAGCTGTGGGAATCAACAGTAAAACAAACTGATATAGCTCCATGAAAAAATTAACACCATGGAAAAAAAAAATTTGCCTTTTCACTGCAATCGTTCCCGGTGTGGACATAAAATTGGGATAAGTTTCAACTGCAGATCAATCCATTAAAATATCCTAATGATGTTAAGGTACCAGAAAATTTCATTAAACCCAAAGAAAAGAAAAAATGGGGAATGGGGGTGGATAAAACAGCAGACAGGAATTTGCTACAGCCTAGCCTGAAACAGGGTTAAGTCGACTTCCAAGCATCCAAAGACCTTCCACTGGCACTGGCACAACATCCATGCTGACAGCTGCTTGGGAGGGACATACTACAATCAGCCTCTCTATTTCTGACCCCTCTCCTGATGGAAATCACAAGATAATATACCCATAGGGAGCAAGACCACACTTCTTACCACAGTCATAACTAAATACTTTAGTAAATACTTCACTAAATACTAAATACTTCACTAAATAATTTGGTAAGTACTTTAAGAAAATTTATTTAAAAAAAGGATCTACCCACTCATATCTGGATTTTAGTATCATTGCCTGGTTATTTTGCTTCACACAGGAGCTCAGTCCTCTGGGGGTTTCATTTAAGCAGGATCCATTAATGGCGTTGCTCATAAGGCAAGACACTACTTGACTTTGGTAAGTAGCTGTGCTGAGCTTTTAGGCAGCTGTTGGTGTTTTTAATGAATATGAAAATGGTTCCAATGTGCTCAAGGCCTGCCCCATGTCACAGATTTCACAGCTGGATCGGCGTTTCCCTAAACACTGGATCTAGAGGTCAATTCAGGCCAAATAGGTTTGCAGTGTTAGTGCAAAAAATAAAAGGATGTGCTCTTGCAGGCACATTTCTGGAGAACCTCAGCACTCAGACACCATTCTAAACACTTCAGGAGGAGATTTCTCCAGTCAGATGTCTACAATGGAATCAGGCACATCGTAACTCATCATCCTGCCATCTTTTGCAGGCATGGGGAGGAACTACATTATCTTCAAGGGTAGAAGTCACCCCATTGAAACACAGGCATCCACCAGCACCAACTAAGAAGAGCCTATTTCCTTCAAAGGGCTTTGCTGGCTACAGGAAGAGCAGCTCCTTAGAGGTTTCCCAAACTACCCGATTTAAGTCCTACCACGGGTGGCTACAAGGCCGAATTGGAAACAGCACAAGCATAGATCCCCTGCCCAGTGAAGCTGGCTGGCCCTGATCCCTTCTTGCCAAGGAAATAGCAAACAGAATATTTTCTCGTGATGTTCTGAGAGTTTTCACTCTGTGTCCAACCCAGGGTGTTTGCAGTGATCACACTGAGAGTTTGATGACAAGCTTTACTTGCTACATCAGACTCAAAGTGTGCTGAGATACCTGCCCACTAAAAGGTAAACGCATTTTCCTTTTTTCCAAGAGAGATGCCTCCCATGAAACAGGTGAAAAATTAGCCTGATTGTTGGGTTTTTTTTTTTCTACTTAATCCAAACTTGTTTACTCATCCTAAGAAACCAAACAGTTTGAAATAACAAATGGAAGGGACTGAGATACCGCAAGGGTTGGACGCCCCATGAAACCCGATAAGTCTTTGATGTGTTTCCATGGGTGGACATAAGGGCAAAACACAGACCCAGGATTTCCAAACCAAACACAAAGCAATCAACCACTAGTGGAAAAAAAAAATATATCAAAGCAGAGAAATTTGAAGTCTTTTCCTTCTTTTGACATAATAATTATTCTAATGCCACAAGTGGAATGAGAGGAGCAGAAGTAGCCTTAAGTCTCCTTTATTAGCAGTATTATTGAGTAGAAGACTTTTCAGGTCCCTTTAGCTCTTTCCCTGGGGCACATATCCCCGGTTCCTGCAAGCTGGCTTTGCATGGAGATATTAGATTAAATCTGCCAGCCATTACATTTCATTTCATTTCATTTCTCCTTCCCTTCCATGACAGATGCTTTGAAATTCACATCACAGGTTGAGCAGACTCTGCAACCCACTAACTAAATCAAGTCCTTTTTTGGTTTGGGACTCGTTTGCATCAACCAGCACAAACACAGGGCCTAAATAAATCATCTTTGGGGACAGGACAAAGGCAGCCACAAACCCAAGAATGATCTAAATAGTTTCTGGCACGTATTTCTTTTTTTTTCCAGAGTTTGTATTTGCTGGAGGAACCAAGCTACGCATAGGAGGGGTATCGGTTTGCAGGACAGTGTGTTGTCTTTTCCAACTCTCTGAGCCCAATCAGCAGCAGATAATGTCTCTCTGTGTTGACCCACCCCTCCTTTCTTGGCTCAGGCAAGGAAAAGCTCTAACATTACCCATGGACAGCCTTGTTTTATACCTCCCCAAGTTGGATAGGCTATGTTTGAAAGGCTGACAACTCATCGCTCCAAACCCCAGGGTCCCCAAAGGGATAACAGAGGTCTCGGCACCACCCGAGACTGAAAATCCTCAAGTTAAGGAAGAGTTTGGATCATTGAGCACCAAAGCTGAGGCCCCATTATTGAGTATTCCAGTCACACTTACATTGTGCAGCTTGTAGTAGAGCCCACAGGCATTACAGACGGGATCGCCGTTGGCATTTCTCCTCCACAGGGTGGTAGTGGTGGTCTGACAGTTTGCACAGGACGTGCCCGCCCTCCTGGCTGCAGACTGTGGGAAGGAGGGAAAGAGAAGGAGAGGAAGAGAAAAACACCCGTGTTAAAAAAATTTTTAAAAATATAATCAGCAAAATTTCTGAGAAAGAAAACATCAACCCTGCAAGACTGATGCACATCAGCAGAGGCCTCCAGAAACTGACTTGTGAGAACAAATAATAATTGTGAAAAAAAATCCCCAAGGTACTTTAATCCCAAATTATATGTGAACTGAATCAGGTGCCAAAGGGCATCCTAAAAGTGAGTGCTAAACCTCTGATAGAACTCATCAAAATTAGCAGCACTGGCACAGCCCATTCCAGAGGGGAAAATGTTATTTAAATGCCAACATGTCTTTCCATCTTAATTCTCCCAGACCCCTCAGGGGTCTAATTCTGCAGTCAGGGCCTGAACTGACAATTGCTGGAGTCAAGGGCGTGAGTCACTCCGGCTCCAGCGAGAGACCAGGGTGGGCAGCTGCTCGCTGGGCCCGACCGCAAGCACAGCCCGGTCCCATAAGCTCCGCTCAGCTTCAAAGGAGACAGGCTCCAGATCGGAAATAACACCGTGGCAAGGAGCAAGAATCTCAACTTTTTAATTACACCCTTTTCTCAGCCCAAACCTTCATGTTTATTTAAGGATTGGTAACAAGCCTGAAAGAAGAATTTACGGTTTCATAAAGGGGTAGGAACATGAAAAAAAATCTACGTGGCAAAGTGTATACAGAAGATTTTTTTGTTAGCTGTGATAATGACTTAGCAAAGTCAAATTTAGTAAAGTTGCTCTTCTTTCACATGCATAAATTCGTACTTATCATTTAAAAACTGTAACTTTAGCAAACAAATTGTGCTTCTGCCTCTGAAGGAGGAACAGGAGCTTTCAGACTGCTGTGTGAGCGCGTATGCATGCTTGCGTGTGTGCAAATGCCTACAGCTCCTAAAAAAAAAAAGACCTTTAGATCCCCATCCTATCTATTCTTCATCAATATGACATGGTCCCAGAGCTCTGATTTCATCCCGATGCGTTGCTTTCAATGGAACTGCTCATGTGCTTAAAGTTAAAACATGTGCTTAAGCGATTTGCCAGATCATAGCAATGCTTGGCACCTTGCAGAACTGAGCCTTTAATGCTCTCTTTTGTGCTCTTACTGTTTCAAATTTACCCCTCACCCCACACAGCCGCACACTGTAGCACATCCAACATTTAAAAAAAAAAGAAAATAAAGAAAATACCGCATCTTTGGATACCGTACAACAAACCCAAAATGCAAACATGGACACTGGCACAGCCTTAGCGTTAATACCAACTCTTGTTAGGTCATGTTGCAATTTTAATCATAATTGAATGCGGCGTAGGTGGAGAGAGGACGGGTTGGTTTTGCTTTAGATAGGGGAAGATTTTTTCTTCTTTTAATTAGACAAAAAGGGCTGTCTAAAAAATAAATAAGACAATGCCCATGAGCACTAGGAAGCATCACAGAGTGGCTGATCCGACAGCAAGTGGCTCTCTCAGGCTGCCCGTAGGGATAGTTCCATTTTGCCTGACCATAAACCATTCTGAACCAAGCCATTCCCAAGGAGGTCTTTAGCTAACTTCTCTGTGCTGGTGACAAGCAGGAGCTGGGGACAACACATGGGACTTGAAAAAATCCCAGGGCCAGTAGAGAAGATGAAACATCCCACCATGAAGAGCAGAGCCCCGAACTGATGCGCGCACACCTCCTGACCACGCCATGGACCCAAAATGGGCTCCCTTCAAATTACCAGGATAATTAAATAATGAATGTGTTCCAAAGGCAGCATGGAGACAGCAGCTTGCAAAGCCAGGTTCTCACTAAAGAGCTGGAGAAGAGTCTGCAGCTCTCTGCCCCCCAACTCCTGACACTCGGCGTGCAGGGCTTGGAGGGGCAAGAGGTTGGATTGAGTCTTGGTGGCAGCTTTGCATTTATCAGACCCAAAAATCAAGCCTAAGGAAATTTCTAAAAACCAGTGATATTTGGCTCAGCCCACACAGGGGAAACATCCCCTTTGAAGATATTTGGGGTTTCTACGCAGCGCTCGCCGTAATTTCTCTTACAGCAAGCGCGTTCAAAAGACACGCCTGGTCACCACCTTGCTGCCTTCAAACAAATTCTGACATTAAATAAGCAAATAAATCACAACATCTACTGTCTTCTCTAAAACCATTTCCAACTACTGTGTTTCACTTGCAAAAATTCAGCATCATTAGCTGAATATTTTAAGCTCTTTCGGTCCCAGGCTGCACCTTTTATGCTGTACCTACTTCTACCGGAGACACAGGCAGCGGGCAGGAAACAATGAATAATAACCCTATTGTAAAGCTCCCAGCAATGGCATCCACTGACGCTCATCAACGACTAGGGGCCTGGCTATGGCAGTAATGGGATGACTAATTAGCTGCCCCATATCATCCACAGGACCACAGCCCATGGCACAGTTGCCGGTGAGCAAAGGCACAGCTTCAGAAGTGCTAGCAGTGATGAAAAGGTGAAATTGAGGAGGTTGGAGGAACCAAGCGCTAATAAAGATGCTTAATTAAGGGGCATTTTCAGTGTCTGTATTTACCCACAAAGCTCCAAGCATCATTTTCCTAAAATAAGATTGTATGTGCTTGGGCCTGCTGAGAAATTGGTTACAATCCTTCCAAAACCAGCTTGGCTTGACTTGGAAACGGAGAGCTCTGCATCTGCATGGGCAGGGAATGGGAGAAAAACTAAAGGAAGGTTTTTATCTCAGCAGCGATGGGGCTGCCACTGCCTGTGACAGGGACAGGAGTAGCCTCCAGGAGGGCTGAAGACTTTTTAGGCAGTGATGGTGTGGTTACACCTGCCTGTTCTTGATTCCCCTGCCAACATCTCCAGGTCTTCCACCTTCCCCCTCAAGATGAAGCAGAGCTGTCTGGGTCCCCTCAGCCAGCAAGACTTCATCCCTGTCACCTAAAGGACACCCTCACAAAGACACCCATTGAATTTAACAAGGTTTGGGCTGGGTTCTCAGCATTTAAGAATTTCTGTGCCTCCTCTGTCCCACCCATCAAATCCTATCATTAATTTCAGTGCAGCTGTGATCAGAGCCTATGAAACCAGCCCGAGGTCACGCAGGAACCTTGTGGTAGAGGGAAGGAGCTGAATCCCCACCCTGAGCCTCCATCCACAGCCCGTCTGCCTTCGCAGCAGGAGAGATCCAGTCAAGCCACAGCTACATGCACATCCACATCCAGGCACAGAAAGTGCAAATGCAAGCCCAGCTCTGGTGCCTTCTGACTAATTTTTTTTTCAGAGGTTAGCAAGGGAAATAAATATAGGTTCAAACAGCATTAGGGATGTTTCTCTTTTTTTTTTTTTTCTTTTTCCCAGGCAGTGCTGGGGATGGGGGACGGGGGAAGTAGAAAAATCAAATTTCACATTTAGCAAGGCCACATTTAAAGAAGGGGAACTTTTTGTAACTTTAACTAAAATGCCCAAAGATTGGAGCGATAATGCAAGACAAGGTCTCCCTTTACTTCTTTTCTTTCTTCCTCTTTTTTTTTTTTTTTTTCCCCAAGAATGACCTTGTACTACGTATTTATTTATATAGTTCATTTTACATGTGCCGGGCTCAGGGTGACTCGGGACATTCTTTCGTGGTTCCATCAGACACTTTTTGAAAGCTCTCCCCCTCTCTCCAGCCGCTTTCCTATTCTGCCTCCCCCTCTGCTTGTTTGGATATGCTCAAGCTCCTGTGTGTTTGGACTGGGGAAACGGAGCTGTTGTTTAGGAGTTATCTCCAGGGCTCAGATATCCGGCAGCTTTTTCCTAGGAAGTTAACTTTACACATAGAGAGAGAACGAGGAAAAAAAAAAGAATAAAGAAAACGAGGGCTGTGTGTTTAAGACAGAAGGGCCGGGGGGGAGGTGGAGAAGAGAACAAGAGAGCTGCCCAAAAAAATCAAAATTCCAGCCTGTACTTCCCTCCCTCGAAAGCTTTTCCTCTTTTCTAACAAGGCTATGAAAGATGAGAGAGACAAACCTTTTCCTATACGGGAAAAGCCCGTACAGGAGGGCACGGAGAGGTTTCACACGCAGGAAGTTTGGTGGGGTAGAGGAGCAAAGCCACGTCTTCCCCAAAACTCACAGGGCCAGACAGAGTTATTGCTGGTGGCCCTCACAGCATACTTTGTCAGGGATTCTGATGGTTTTCTCATCGATCTTGTATCCTAGGAACCTAATTTCACTCACAGGACTCGGGGTGTGTTTATCATAATTGATATGCACACCTAGTCTTTGGAGAAAACTGCATATAGCGTGGCTTCCTGGGAATGTACCCTGCAAATGCTTCCCAGAGCCAGAGGGAACACAGCTGATACAATTCTATGGGTGTCTCACAGGTGAGGAAGCTGATCCCGACCTAAGAGCTGTGAGCACCTTCCAGGAGAACACAAATTAACCAGCCTTGTCCTGCCTGCAAGGTCTGGCCATGCCGGGCACAAGTCTCACCAAACTGGTCAGATCCATCCATCAGCTCAGAAATTCCACAGAGAGGCAAGAGCCACCTTTCCTCCACATTTTGAGCAGCCCTTCCACATCTTTAATCCTGACAAAACCAAACGTGCCTCGATTCGAAACATTCAATAACTTCCCAAGCAGGGACCGTAATTTTTTCCCCCACTTGATATATTTTTTCCCCTTGTGGTCTGCCTGATTATTTGCCAAATACACTTTAACACATTTATTAGCCATGCCCACAGCTTCCAGACCTTTTTGTGGCTTCCAGGGAAATGCATGAACAGATCGCTGGGGATGCTGTAACGTACTGCCTGGGCTTAGAACAGTCAGCAGTCTTGTAACTATTATTTCAAACATTTACCCACTCATTTCATCTTCCTCCAACTTCTGTAGCCTGGGCACACGCTTGGCTTTGCACGCTCACCATCCTCTCTGCCTTGTGTCCTTGTGACACCATTTGAGACCCAGATGGCACAGACATAAATGACCACACCAGGTACCCGTGGCACCAGGACCTGATGGTTCCAGCTTTTTGAAGGACCAGTGACACCCCAGTGACACCCAGTTTGGGTCCCTTGTACATGACACCACCAGCCAAGGGGGATAGAGACACATTAAAGAGTGGAGGGCAGAAGTTTGGGGAGCCCAGGAGAAATCCTGTATTCTTGATAATCTCTTTGGTCACTAGGAAATTATTTTCCTGCCCTTAGGCCCTGGAAAATGTCACTGTCCTCAGGACACCGTGCGGAGTTGAAAACTCAGTTCTGGTTTGCAAGAAGCCCTGGATCTTGATTTTTAAACCTTTTTTTGCAGTTTGCAGTTTGCTAGAGTAGTTTGCTTTTCTACTTTTGCAGTTTGCTAGAGGATCAGACAACTGAGGCCCACAGCAGCTGGGACCAACTCTCCAAGCATCCCTCCCTCCCAGCCCTCGGACACAGTGGGACCAGTGGGAGCTGGCTGAGGTTCCCTGTCCATCCCGAGCTGCAGATAGGAAGCAAAAGCTGCAGAAAAAGAAGAACAAAATAGAAGGAGACTCACCAGTCTTCTCTTGGGTTTGATCAGGGGCCGGTTCTGCCCGTTCATTTTGTGGTAGAGTCCGCAGGCGTTACACAAATAGTGCCCAGTGCCGTCCCTTCTCCACAGAGGGGTTGAGGTAGCCCCACAATTTACACACTCCCTGCCTTCTGGAAACAAGAGAGCACATGATTCACTTAGGGAAAGCAGAGATAAAAGGGGCTGGGAAAAGCCCCCCATCCCAAAAAAAAAAACCCCAAAACCTCCCCAGAGACCCAGCCAGGCCAGACCCTGCCAGTCCCCCCCAAGCTCAGGATTTCCAAAAAAGAGTCCATGACTGAACAATGTCCCTGGCACAGGCTGGTGGGCTCTGATCCTCTTACCCTCCCCAGCACCACTCTACAGGCAGCATCAGGCCTGTGTCCCAGCAGCAGGGAAGAGGGATGGTGACAATGACAGCCCGAGTGCCATGGTGGCTCAAGAGGCTCCCCAAAGAAGCTCTCACTCCTCCCACGGGTCTCTTTGGGGGAGTGGGGGGAGCTGACAATTTCCCCTCACCTTTGGATTAAGGGCTTCTACAACTCTGGAGACCCCAAGTTTCCATAGGCACCAGAAAAACCTTGGCAGGCTTTGCAAGAAGCCTCCAGCCTTCTACACCCAAAATAATGGATACAGAATTTAAGTCCATGAGCCCCTTTCTGATGTGTATGAGGACCCCAGTGTCACTCCTTAAGCACTCTTCCAGCTCCCAGGGGTGTTTGTGAGCCTGGAGGGCTCTTCCTCTGGCCTCAGGTCAAACCACATCAAGGATCCCCAAAATAATCACAGATAACCCCCAAAACATCTCCCCAGCTCCAGCCAATACATAACAACTTTGACAATATCTGCTATTGATTAATTTGAAATTTAACTTCCACCACCCAAAACGTTCAGAAGCCTCTCTGGTTTCCTCATTACATCTGCAGCCTGATGGTCCATCCTGGCTATCTGGGATAGCAAACAGCCCCAAGCCTGCCTCATAAGTTCTTTCCTTCCTTCTCCTTCTTTTTGGGCACCTCTTTATCCTCTCCCTGTCGATTGCAGCGGGATATCTCCCCCAGCTTGGAGGAGGGAACTGGGAGGGTGCAGCCCCTGCCTCTCAGCTACTTTCAGAGGGCTGAGGGGGTTTTTTTTGTTGTTGCGTCTTTGGTTTAGTGGGGGAAGTTTTTTTGTACCTAACGTCGGTGGTGGCCCACCTGAGAGCGGGGTGGGCAGACCTCAGCCGGGCAGAGCAGAGCAGAGCAGAGCCAGCTCAGCACAGAGCCGGCTCCCCGCTGCCCCAGCCCGTGCTGCCTTCGAGCAAGAGGCGCCCGTGCCCTAACCACAAACGGCAACCGTTTCTCCAGAGCCTTCGCACCGAACCCCTCTTCTCTCACACCTCCCCAGCAACTACAACAACAACAAAAAAATTACATTTGCAGCCGCTTCTCCCTCTTTTATCCTGCAAAATCACCCCCTTCCTCCTTTTTCTCCAGCTCTAACCCTCTTTGTTTGAGAGGTCCTAGCTTGCTAAGATCAACTTCTAAAGGGGAAAAAATAAAAGAGAGAGAAAGAAAAAAAAAATAGGTGTTGCTGCTGGGGTTGGTTTATCACGAACCGCAGATGTCTTTCTAGAAGGCAAAGTAACAGAAAGTGGCAAAAGGAAAACAAGAGGGGAGGGTGGAGGGGGGGCGAGGCGGTTTGAAAATACCGCGCAGCCGGTGGGTGCCCGGCGGGAGCTGCGGCTCGGCGGGCGCCGGGGCGGCCGGGGGATGCTCAGCACCGCCCGGGGCCACAATAAACCGGTCCCCAGCCCGGACATGGCACCCGGTCCGTGCTGGGGCCAGCCGGGGAGCCGGTCCCGTTAATACCCTGGTCATTTTGTTCCCCTCCGGTTAAACGGGACAGCCGCTGCTGTTTGAGTCCCTGTCCCTCTCTTTTGTTTCACCCCATCTCTCTCTCTCTCTCCCGCTTTCATGTACAAAACATACAGGTCTGGGTTTTTTTGTCACTCTAACTGCATCCGGACTCTATTAAAGTTCCTGGCGCTGGATAAACAATGCAACTGTCGCGTGCAGCAGTCTGAAAATAATTGGATTAGCTCAAACATATCAGCTAAATAGAGACAGTCCCTGCTCAGACAGACAGAGTAAATGTCACCCTGGAAAAACCCTGAAAACTGATCTCATTCATGCCAGGCAACCCCGCAGCAGCCTCCTCGGAAAAACAAAATAGAGAAGAAAAAAAAAAAGAAAAAGAAAAAGAAAAGGGGGAAAAAGAGTTTTGACTAATCGCCCTTTCCTCTGCACACAAACACATTCCCCAGGGCTCACTCCCACCCCTCCGTGCACAGGAAGGTCCAAGCCCGGCGTGTTCAGGAGCCGGAGCTCCCTCGCCGCCCATCCCGCGGGGAGCGCACAGAGCTGGGGCCCCCCAGCTCCCCCGGGAAAGGCAGCCCGGGGGACACTTTTGGGACACTTTTGGGGACACTTTTGGGGACTGTCCTTGTGGGCGATCCAAACCCCCCGGCACGGAGCTGGCCGGGGCTGGGGGCTGCGTGGGCGAACTCCCCGCAGCGCCCCGGGGAAAACCCTCCCCGCATCCCCGGGCGCCGCATGGGAAGAGGCCCTGGGAAGAGCGAGGCGGAGGGCGGGCGGGGGAAGTTGGCCGGGATTTAGCTCCATTATTAAAATACAGAGAGATCGCTAATGCTGCGGTTCCCTCGGTTTCGCTTCCTCCCCGGACGCCGCAGCTGAGCGCACCGTGGGGTCGCCCCCGGGACTGGAGCCCCGCGGCACCGGGTGGGTGGTTTGGGTTCCTGGGCCTGATTCTATCCCCAGCCAGGGTTGGGCGAGTTATAAACCTAGCAGAGCAACCTGTGGGAAAGGTGAAGCGTCGTGTGCATCCCCCGCGAGGGCTCCAGCCCCTGCTGCTCCCCTGTCACAGGGATGCTCGAGCACATGTCCCTGCGTGCGGGGGCAGCGAGGGCTCAGCCCCATTCCTCTGCCCCCCACTTTTCCCTCCCTCAGCTTCCTCTCCCGAGCAACGGGGATGAAGAAGCCAAAAGCCCTACCTGTGCTTGACCGTGCTTTTGGTCGCGATTTACACCCAAAGCCGGTGGGCGATCCTCCTAAGAGGCTACTGGGGGGAAAAAGTCCAGAGCCATATTCTGGGACATACGGTGGGTAGGTGGTGATGGGGTGGTGAGCGGAGGAGGTGGCTCCTCCTAAAGAGGCCATGCTGCTCCGAGAGTGAGAGGACTCCAGCTTCATGGTATCGGCCAGGGACACCTGGTATTTGATGCATTCCTTCTCGTCCTGCCGGGTGGAGCCGGTGGAGCCGGGGGTGGAGATGGACGGATCCGGGGACACATCTTTAGGAGGGGTCGGCGGGAAGGTGAAAAGGTGCGGGCTGGAGTGGCCGGCGGATAAAGTGGAAGAGGAGGCGGGTGGGTAGACGGAAAGGGGTCCCGGTGAGCTGTGATGGATGGAGGTCTTGGAGAAGGGGCTGAGGTTCCAGGGGGAAGCGCTGTGGTGGCTGCTCAGCGCCTTGCTCCCGTCCAGCCAGGGCAGCGAGCCGTGCAGCAGCGGGGGGCGGCACACCTGGCTCCCTGCTCGGAGAAAACACGGAGACACGTCGGTCACATCCCTCTGCCACCCTGGCAAAGCCCCCCGTGGGGGTCCCGGGACGTTCTTCCCCCACCGCCACCCCCTCGTCCTTCCCAAAGAGCTCAGCACGCAAGGAAAATTACATCTGATGAGAAACCCCGCTCCTCATTAAAAATTAATTTTTAAAAGCTACAAGAGCACGGAGTGGGAGCTCCGGTCCTGTTGAGGAACGGGTTTTGGGGTCGGGACCCTCCAAGCACGGTGCCAGCCCTGTGACACGGGATTTGTGAGCTCTGCTTCACTCTCTCCGTTTTCCAGGCAATCCCACGAAGACTTTGAAGCAAAGATCCTGCGTGAAATTGCCAAGTCCCGACTGCAGAAATATTTTTCTTTTGTCTTAGCTGGAAAATGATTTCCCGAACAGAGCCGTGAGCTATAAACCCTGGGAATTCTCTGGTCAAACGAAGAAGACCAGAAAATGCCCACAGACATGATAATGACCTTTGCAACAGGGCTGATAAACTTTGCAAACCACTCAGTTTGTCTTTTCTTCTTCCACGAGACTGCACAGAAATGTTAGAGGGCTTTTTCGCGATGGTATGGCACACGCTGAGGGTACCAATTGCCTCAAAAGAAACGCTCCAAACCCTTTTTGTGACAAGGGACACTTCACTTGTCTTTTAAAATACAGACCTGGAATTCGTGGGAAAAAACAATTCACTAGATTTCTGCAGTCAAATCTTTTTTCCTTTGGTTATAAATGTTCCTAAGGGCTTGTACCTAATATTTTAAATTATTTTCGGCCCTTGCTAAGCAAATAGAAAAATCCATCCTAAGAATTAAATCTATCCAAATCCACAGCAACTTGAGCGAATGGCTGTAAGATGGAAAACAGAGTTATTCAATTGGAAGGGAGCAAGTTTGTGTCTGATGATAAAGCCCTGGAAAGTCTCTGACACCCAGAGATCCCTAACCTCTTGTAGGCATTGTGATATGTGTATAGAGACTGCTGAACGTACAGAAGGAGAGATGCAAACACGGATGTATAGAGCCACAGATAGTTACAGGGTGGACACATGTGTTTGCATGGGGAGCTCCTGTGTGCCTAGAAAAGCTCCAAACTGGTTTTCACCATAGCAGACACTCGTGAACAATACTGAAAGTCGCTGCTCAAAAGGAAGGGAAGGTGGGTTATACGAATAGAAAGGGTCAAGATTCATTATCTTCCCCAGGAAGTAGCATAGTAAATAATATTCAGGCTAGATCAGAGAGACCGCATTTCCACTTTCTGCTGATATATTGGGGGAAAAAAGAAATGAAAAGGGGAGAAAAGAAAGAAAGGACAAAGGCTGCTGATCCTTAAAAATAATTGTTTTAAAGGGACTAATAGCAGAACAATGCAGTTACTGAGCGGAGCCTAATGCAGGCTCACACTCAACAAGTTGCTGAGGGCTGGGAGCAGCCTCCTGAGCCCGCTCGGCTCCATCTCCACTCTGCTTATCCCCTTTTCTCCATGATTTTGGGGTTATTTCCACTGCAAAACTCGGGGATTTACATTTTGCCACGACAGAGATCACTGTCCGGCTTCACAAACCACCCTCTGTTCTTTTCCCTCCTTTTTTTTCTTTTTTTTGTGTTTCTTTCCTAATTTTTAAAACCATCCAGGTAAACTCCAGCTATAAACTGAACCTCTCCACTTCTTCATAAAAGATGGCACCAAAGAACTCATCCCTCCGTGGACCTGGGCCCCACCGGCCCCAGGTATTTCACCTCTTTCTCAGAGCTGTGACCCAGGAACAAGAATCACATTGTGGATCATTACCTTCCTGCAGGACCCTCAGGACAACACACCGGCTCTGATACCTAATTACACCACGGGCTATTTTTCTTTTTTTTTTTTTTTTTAGTTTCTTTCTTATTTTAAACCCACGCCACGGTGCTGCCCTGGGTATGTGTGCAAAACTTTCGTCCCAAGCCTAACAAGCTCACCAAGTGTGAATTAAATAGCCCAAGCGTGAGGACAGCGGGGTCATTTTCACACCCCTGCTCTCCAGCTTGCTTTGCTTCCCCAGAGCAGCTTAATCGTGCAAAAACTAAACACAGTATGAAAACACTAACTGTTAGCCTAATTAAAGAGAGGGGAGAGAAACCAAAGCGGAAGAGAAGGGGGCAAGAGGAAGAAATGAAGAGGAAGATGAAAAAGAAAGAAATAGAAGGGAAGAGAGCAAGAGGGAAAGAAGAGAGAGAGGGAAGAAAGATGTGAGATAAAAAGAGAGGATGAAAGAGAGAAAGAAAGAAAGAGAGAAAGAAGGAAAGAAAGAAAGAAGGAAAGGAAGGAGGAAAGGAAGAAATGAAGGAAGGAAGAAAGAAAGGAAGAGGGAAAGAAAGAAAGAAGGAAAGAAGGAAAAAGAAAGAAAGAAAGAAAGAAAGAAAGAAAGAAAGAAAGAAAGAAGAAGAAAGAAAGAAAGAAAGAAAGAAAGAAAGAAAGAAAGAAAGAAAGAAAGAAAGAAAGAAAGAAAGAAAGAAAGAAAGAAAGAAAGAAAGAAAGAAAGAAAGAAAGAAAGAAAGAAAATATTAAAAAAAAAAAAAGAAAGTGAAAGAAAGAAAGGAAGAGAAAGGAAGGAAGCCTGAATTTTTATTTATTTCCAATAAGCCAACCCCAAAATCCACCCGTGACGTAGCTTCCCCGCCGGCAGGAGAGGGTCTGCCCGAGAGCAGCGGGGGGCTCGGAGGGACAGACAGACGGACACTCACCGTGGTGGGCCGTGGGGTACCGCTGCACCGTGGCTCTCACGGAGTTGCCGTAATACGGCGGGACGGGGTTGCCTTGTCCGTCGATATTAAAAAGTACATCCACTTCCTCGGCGAGAGGGTACTGCGTGGGGTCCATGTAGGTATGGCCAAGCGAGGGGTGATGCGAGTCCGGGTGCTGCCCATTGAGCACGGCCGGGTGGTGGTGGCTCACCCACCGCGGCTGGTCCGTGGAGACCTCCATCTTCTGCCGCTGCTCTTCCTCCTCCTCCTCCTCCTCCTCCTCCTCCTCAGCGAGGCGCGGAGGGCTTCTTGAGATGGGAGCGGGAGACGCTGCCGGAGTTGCGCAGGGCGGGGAAAAAGTGCTCGGCGAGTTCGGGGATGTTTCTGGTTAGGTTTGGTTTAAAAGTGTGTGGAGGGAGTTGGGGGTATGGTGATAAACGATCGATTCCAAAAAAAAAAAAAAATTAAAAAAAGGGGGATATAATAAAATCAAAAGGGAGAAAAAAGGGGAAAACAAAAAAAAAAAATCTCAGGGGGAAAAATTTCTCTACGCAGCGAGATCCCCTCGTTTCTTCCGCTGTGTTGCAGATGTTTCTCTTCTTTGATCACCTGTAACGAGAAAGAGGAAAGGGAAGGAGCAGAGAGAGAGAGAGAGAGAGAGAGGGAGAGGCAGGGAGAGAAACGTACTTGAGAAGTTCTGAACTTCAGCACCTGACTTTTTAGGCAGGAGCAAACCCATCCCATCCCTCGGCAGCCATCCCTGGGAAGCGCCTGCTCTGCCCTGGACCCACCTCTCTCTCCCAGCGCCTCTTTCTCTTTCGCTCTCTCCCGGCTCGGAGCGGAGCCCAGCAGCTCCCACCGCGCTCCTACCGCCCAGCTCTTACTTTTCCTTGGGTTTGGGGATATTTTTTTTTTGGCTTTTCTTTTTTCTTTTTTTTTTTTTTGGTCGCCGCGGTTGTTTGTTTATTTTTTTATTTGTTCCATTTGCACCTGAGAAGCTCCAGTGGCTTAAGCCGGTGAGAACTTGTGCCATTCGCTGCTGCTGCGCAGCCCAGAGTCACTTTGATTGCTCATTAATTATTATGCAACCGAGAAAGGGGGGAACGGGGGGAAAAGAGAAGGGAGGGAAGGGGTAAAGCGATGGGAGAAGAGAGTAGGGGCTGAAAGGAAGGAGCGAGGAGAAAAGGAGGGGGGGGAGAGGGAGGAAAAAAGAAAAATTCAAAAAGCGACAAGTTGCTCAAGAAATTCCGCACAAACCTTGGTGGAGAAGCAGTATGTGACCCAGGAGGGATGAAGCTGAAAGTGCTTGATCAGATCAGATTGTGCTCTCGCTCGCACTATTTTTTTTTCCCTACTTTTTTTCCTCCTCTCTCTCTCTCTCTCTCTCTCTCTCCCTCTCCCTTTTTTTTTTAATCTTTTTTTTTCCTTTCTTTCCTTCTTTCTTTTTTTTCTTTTTTTTTTTTTTTTTTTTTTACAGGGAAGGCATTCTTTCTGAAAGGAGCAGGATGGCGCCAGCCGGCTCAGTGCTTACAGACAGCTGTGGCGAGACGCAACTTAAGGAGGTTCCAGTGTCATAAGCCCGGGGGAGGCGGAGCCTGAGGAGGGGACCGGCTCCGGCCGCCCCCGCGCTGCCCCCGCGGGAACCCCCCGGCAACAAACTCCTCTCCATGTCCCCTCCACGCACCCTTTTTTAAAATTTATTTTTGAAATTTTTTCTGCTTTTTTTTTTTTTTTTTTAAGGGGGAAATTAAGTTTTCCCGCTGTCCCAGGAGCTCTGAGAGCGGCCAGCCCGGAGAGATGGTGCGTGGAGGGGACGGGTTGGATTCTCGGGCGGGCATCCCGGAGGATGCCGGCGGGCTGGGAGCCCCCCGGGACAGGGATGTGCGGGCAGGTGCGGGGCCGGGGGCTCCCCGCTGGAATAAAGCTGCCTGCTCCAGCGGCGCGGCTCAGAAGGGATTTAATTATTGTTATGTTTGAGGATACAAGCACACAGCTACGGCCAAGTTTGTACACTCGATCCGGGGGGGATTAGGGGGTTTTAGGGGTTTTTTTAGGGTTTTTTTCCCCCTTCTTGCCCCGCTGGGGACCCGGGAGAGCCGCGAGGAGCAGGCACCGACGGGACCCCCGGGCGCCGAGCTCGGCCACGCCCCCCCGCCGGCTCGGCCAATGGACGGCCAGCAGGAACTGGGGCGCCGGGCCCGGGCGGCGCTGATTGGCTGTGAGCCCGCGGGCCCGCCGGCCCCTGGCGGCGCTGATTGGCTGCGGGCCCGCGGGCCGGCGGCAGCGGCGGGCGCTGCGTTGAGCCAGGGCATCCCCTAGCGGCACCCCGGGGTCATCCCGGCGGGAACGGACCGGGACAGACAGAGGGACAGGGGGACAGCGGGGACAGGGAGAGCGCAGGGAGAAAGGGAGAACCAGGGACAGAGGGTGGGGGGAGAGAGAGACGCACACACAAAAGGAGTGGAGAGAAAGGAAAGCGGAGGGAAAAAGAGAGAGAAAGAGAGAGAATAAGAGAATGATAGGAAAGAAGGAGAGAAAGAAATAGAAAGAAAGAGAGAAAGAGAATAAGAGAATGAGCGGAAAAAGAGAGAGAAATAGAAAGAGAGAAAGAGAGAGAAAGAAAGAGAGAAATAGAAAGAAAGAAAAAGAAAGAAAGAAAGAAAGAAAGAAAGAAAGAAAGAAAGAAAGAAAGAAAGAAAGAAAGAAAGAAAGAAAGAAAGAAAGAAAGAAAGAAAGAAAGAAAGAAAGAAAGAAAGAAAGAAAGAAAGAAAGAAAGAAAGAAAGAAAGAAAGAAAGAAAGAAAGAAAGAAAAGGATAGGATGATGGAGGAGGGAAGAAAAGGATAATATTAAATTTTTTTAAAAGCACTAGAACGAGTCACTCACTGCGTGCTCCGCACGCCGGCCAGAGCGCGTCAGCCCCGGTGCGGGAGGAAGCGGCTCCCGGAGTTTTTATACCGGGGGGTCCCGTTAAATCCCGAGGCTCCGCAGCTCCGGGGCCGCCTCCGGTCAGCGGGGCCGGGCTGGGCTCAACCTGCGGCCGGGAGCGGGATCCGCTCTTCGACGGCCAGCGGAGCCAAACCACCCCTTGGATGGATGGGTGGATAGATGATGGACGGATGGATGGATGGATGGATGGATGGATGGATCGGATCCTCGAGGACGCCCGTTTTAAGCCCGAGTTTCAGCCCTCGGTGCAGCCCATCGCCGTTGGGCGTGGGGACAGAGGTTTCACACATGAAAGATGCGCCCTGGGCATGCACATATACATATATATATATATATATTTTTTTTTTTTTTTTTTTTTTTTAAGAAACCAGCCAGGGCTGGTATAAGAGCCGTGAACCAGCCACGCGTTAGCATGGACGAGCCGGGAAGGGGGTGGCAGGTCGCCCCCACCCAGAAGTGCCCGGGGACAGGGCTCGGTGCTCCCCCGGGCTCTCCAGCCCCGCCGACGCCGGAGCCCGGGGCGGTGGGAAGCGCTCCCTGCAGCCCATCGGGGGGAAGGAGGAGAGGGGAGGATGCTCATGGCCCTCCCCGAGCCGGGGGCTTTCACCCGCTCCGGGAGAGCTCGTGTTTCCTCCGTCCCATCACAGGAGTCGCTTTGCCCGCAGGGGTTTTATTTCCCCTCCTTTCCATACTCCAGGAATTGGGGGGAGTAGAAGGAGGACTAGAAGGAGGAAGCGGAGGGGAGAGCGGCGCGGTCTGTCTGTCTGTCTGTCTGTCTGTCTGTCCTGACGCACTTTCCGGGGCGCCCCAGCTCCAGGGTGGTCTCCTGCCCACCCCTCCTCCTCGGGAGCGGGGGATTCCTTGGAGCGGAGGAGGAGGACAGTGAAGAGGAGAGCAGCGCTCAGGAGAACAAACTTTCCTCTTCCCGCCATCCCCCTCCCCAACTTTGAGCATTTTAGCGGGAAGTGTCTCCCCGGGATTTGCCTCTTCATCCCCGCTCCCCAAATTTCCCCATCCTGCGGGCCAGAGGGGTTTCCGACACTTCGGAAAAGTCACTTTGTGTTTTTTAACATTGAGGGGGGGGTTTAATGCGAGCTGAGGTCTTTGGGCAGGTGAGCTGAGATTCCCACCCCCGCTCCCTCCGGCGCTTACAGCCCTGAGACCTACAGCCGTGGGATCACAGGAGGGGAATTTCCATCCAAAGGTCACAAAATTGCTAAACCACTTTAAAACGTGCCTCTAGCCCTGTCCGGAGGTAGTGAGGAAATCTCTTTCCTTCAGCTGTTTGGAGGGTAGGGAATTATTAATGCAAAATGAAATTAATAAAGTTAAAAAAAAAAAGGTAAAATAAAATAATAAATCAACAGCTACACCAAGTCCCATCAGGAGGGAAAAGAAATGGTAACAGCCCTGAGGGCTCCGTCCTGCCCAGGCTGAGGGAGGAGGACACCCGCTTTCAAATCCATTTTGCTTAGGCTGTCCCTTTATTTTCAACCCGTCCTCGATAGACTCGAACCTCCTATCCCCCTCCCAGCCGGGAGGAAGTCGTGGTGGGGAGTGCAAAAACACACCCTACCAATTAAAAAAAAAAATTAAAAAATAAAAAGAGCAAACCCATCATTTTTCATCATTTTTTTATCATTTTTTCCCCCATCTCCTCGAATTATCCTGTGATCCCCGGGGGTTTGAGAGGAGCGCTGGCCTTGACCGTCCTTTTCCCAGGCTGTGGCTGCAGATCCATCACCTCGCCCCGCCCGGCAGCCCCCAGCAGGGTTTGCAGTGACAGCTCGGCGTTAATAGGAGCCCATTGTTGGAGCAATTAGCCCCAAGCTCGCCACCAGCCGCCAGATAAGGGTCGGGGGCTCGGGGGTTAATTCTGCCGGGAGGGAGGGGGATGCGGGGAGCGGGGCTCCGGCATCCCCCCGTGCTCGGGGAGGGATGGGCAAAACTCTGCCTCTAAAAGGTCACGAGGAAACGCTTTGGACAATTCATTTGTCACCTACAGACCCAAAAAGAGGGAAATTCAGAAAAAAACCCCCAAAAAACAACAAAAAAAACCCCCCAGCAGATAAAATCAACAACAAAAAACAAAACCCCAAACTTGGTGGGATGGGGCGGCCCCCCAGCCTACCGCTCCCCTAGAAGTGGCCCGTGAAAGGGCACTAAAGCTGCCACCCTTTTGTTTTTTGGTGTTTTGTTTTTTTTTTTAATCTCCCTCGTGTCTTCCTGTTAAAGTGGGCACAGCGAAGGCTGCTCCGGAGCCGGACCCGGGGCCAGCCGCTCCTCCGGCCTCGCCGGTGCCCAGGGCCGCCACTGGCACCTCGGGGCGGGGACAGGCAGCGTCCCCCTGCTGCCCCCTCTCCTTTAGCCCCCTTTTAAACGACAATTGACTGAAAGGGGATTAAGTTACGTTTGTCGGGCTGGGCTTTTTTTTTTTTTTTTTTTCTTCTACTCAGGGTACCAGAATAGTACAGGTAAAGCTGTACAAACAGCCGGGAGCGAGGAATCGGGGGGTTATGGAGAGGACACGGCCCAGGGCAGAGCTCCGAAGATTATTATTAATTTTTTTTTTTTTTTTTTTTGCCTGTGTACAGCAACTTGCCGAGGGAGAGAGACAGAGAGAGCCGGGGTTGGGAGCCCGCTGCCACCTCCCCGGCTGGGGCAGCCCCTCCCGGGTCACGGAGCCTTCCAGCCCCCGGGCCGGCCCCGCCGGGAGGGTACTGGGCCCTGCTCGGATAATCTCGGGTTAAACAAAGGCGCAGAGTAGCAGAGTAGAGGGAATATTTTGTTTTCCTCTTTTTTTCTTCTTTTTTTTTTTTTTTTTTTTTTTTAGTTTCCCTCCCTTCGTGAATTAGGTAGGAATTACGATCCACTTCCCCAAGGCCATCCCCTCTTTATCATTTAAACGGTAAACAGCGTCCGGCCAGCTAGGAGCAGCAAATTATAATTAATAATCATAATAAAAAGAATAATAATAGTCAAAGAGAAAGAGAGACTGGCATTTCTGCATCTCCCCTTTCCCATCCCACATGACTTTTCCCTTCCACTTCGAAACCAGCCACATGGGTGGTTTTTCTTTCTTTTTTTTATCTCTCTCGCTCTTTCTAATTTTTTTTTTCAATATACATACGTATTTCCGTTCTTTTCTAATAATTCTGTTATCTCCCCTTCGTGAAGATCGGGAGGAAACATAAACACGCACACAAAGAAGTGCCGAGCCATGCAAATTCAAAGAGAGAACAAATCATCGGCTGATTACACCGGGTCCAATTTTTTCTCCCTTCGTGCACCACCACCCACCACAGACGCACACACTTCTTTTTTTTTTTTTTTTCAGCACAAATGATGCTATTTGATGGAGGGGTGGGAAGAGACGGGGGAAAACCCTGCTCTGCCGTAAAAAAAGAAATTCGAAGAATTAAAATTGGGAGGAGAGAAACTGGGACTTTTTTTTTTTCCCTCCTCCCCCCCCCCCTCTTTGAAGCTGACAGAAGGGCGACTGCCCCGGGACACTGCAGGAGTAAGAGAAAAAAATAAAAAAGAAAAAAAAAAAAAAAAAGGTCTGAGAAAGATCAAAAACCGGCTCCGCAAGTCCCAGGGGCGACCTCTCCCCCCGACACATTCCCCAAAGTGCGCGGAGAGGAGCCGGGCAAAGGGGACAAGGGGAGGGGGACTCGTGTCAGCCCCGTCCTGCTCCGGCCGGCGGGACCCAGGCAGGA